AGATTTTGGATGTTGCTGTGTATAAATCCATCCTGCAAAGATCAGTGCATCCCTGGGAGCACGGTTTCACATGATTTCTTTGTTTGCTATTTATATTTGTAGTGTTGCCTGAAGCAGCCTGGGTTAACTGTACTCACAGCCTTCATGTGGGTTAGCAGTTAGGTACAGTTAGCACCCTCAGTTTTTATAGTTGTCTGAGCAGTAAACCATTGTAGGCCACTAGGGAACCTCTGATGAATAGGAGAGATTTTTAAGCTGTTTTAGGCTTGGCTGAAGTTTAACATGCATGCCTTTAAAATTTTCTTTTTGAGTAGCATGTTTTATAGAATCATAGAATGGTTTGGGTTGGAAGGAACCTTAAAGCTCATCTAATTCCAACCTGACTGCCATGGGCAGGGACATGTTCCACAAGACCAGTTTGCTCAAGGCCCCATCCAAACTGGCCTTCTGTTTAAGGTAGAGAAGGAAGTTGTGACGTGTGCATGACTCTGAAGTTAGATAGAAGAAAACAGGAATATTCAGGAAAATAATGTAAAAGAGAGAATGATGAAATATGAAAGAAGCAAAATTGAAAGGCAGCAGGAAAAGATATTGGGACAAACAGCCCCGAAAAGAACAATGTTCTTCCATTCATCATAAGTATTGTCGAAGAAGTAGTATTTAATACATATTCCTATCATGGCAGTGTTACAAAAAAACCTCCATTTAAAAATGAATAGAACATTAACGGTACTGATGGATTAGATTTTTTTTTAAGTTCTTTAATTGTGACTTGGAAGTGTAGGCCACCTGCATCTATTACCTTCATTAAAACACCTTACCATGCCCTTGAGAAAACCCCAAGATAGACATTGAAACTGTATGCATATTTCAAAAAACAGTTTTGGAATGTGTTTAGCCTATCACTTGATTCATGTTTCCATTAAGACTGCCAAGTGGGAAATTGTTAACTTTTTCTTCACCTGTCTTCTGCTCTTTCAATTTTTAATATTCTGTATTCAGTTCAGTGAGCACTTTTTCATGAGGGTTTAAAATTCAATTATGTTTTTGTTGTTAAATAATTTTGAAATTGCCTATATCAGATTTCAGGTTATTGTAAAAGTACTAAATGAACTGAAGGTGTAGCAGTGAATTAATGAAACTATTAATGCTTATACAGTATTTTATGAGTTAGCAAATTAATATATCATTAGTAGTCAAAAATCTCAGGTAACTTGTAATCTCTGGTTCTGTAATTAACTGCATAATGTCCAATTCAGAGTCACTCACAGTTCCCTAGAAGATTCACTGCAGTTATCCACTGCAACAATTCTGTATCACAGAATCATAGGATGGTTGGGGTTGGAAAGGACCTTAAGATCATCCAGTTCCAACCCCCTGCCATGGGCAGGGACACCTCACGCTAGACCATGTTGCGCAAGATTCTGTCCAACCTGGCCTTGAACACTGCCAAAGATGGAACATTCACCACTTTTTTTGGCGACCTGTTCCAGTGCCTCACCACCCTCACAGTAAAAAACTTCTTCCTTATATCTAACCTGAAATTTCCCTATTTAAGTGTAAACCCATTACCCGTTGTCCTGTCTCTACAGTCCCTGGAGGTGAGTCCCTCTCCAGCAGCCTTACAGGCCCCTTTCAGATACTGGAAGGCTGCTATGAGGTCTCCACGCAGCCTTTTCTTCTCCTGGCTGAACAGCCCCAGCTTTCTCAGCCTGTCTTCATACAGGAAGTCCTTCAGCCCCTGAATCATCCCCATAGCCCTCTTCTGAACTTGTTTCAACAGCTACAGTATATTAACCAAGCTGAATGTTCTAAGGAAGGATAAAATTTTCTAATTCATCGATAAGCTTGTGTGATTCGTATGACAATATGACTCAAAGATTGCAATCAGTGTCTTGATACACCTAGTAAAAGCAGACAATTTTGAAATGATTTCTTGATTAACAAAAACTAAGTCATGCTACATTTTCTAGTATGATAGAGCCAAATAGTGCACATTTTCAGCAGCATGCTAAGTAGAATGAGTAAAAAATAAATCCTTTGACAGGCACATTATCACATCTACTGATAATGGAGACCAGGTCCACTGAACTGATATTCATTTCACTTAGGATGATATCATATTGTTTTCTTGTGTTGATGAAATAAGGCTCAAATTGGAAAGTAATTTATCAACCTGACCAATACTACATGTTCAGTGTTACACAGTGAGAAGCTCAGACAAAAAACAATTGCCTTATAAAACGGCAATTTAATGTATTTTTACTACATTTTTCTTCCTTTATGATTTGGTGGAAAAGTATTAAGTTTCAGAAGTTACACCCTTTTTATGCTATATACTTTTTAAAACCCTTCTTTTCAGTGCTTCTCTTTGGGACCTCCCAGTATATTATTTTCCATTGTTGAATACATTTCCCTGCTATATCTTCCCTGTCTGTGGGCTGCTTAGATACATAGGGCTGCAAGCAGAAGACCATTGTTAGCCTCACAGTGGGCTGATAGCGAGTCATGAGACGCAACATGCAGAACAGTGTTTACCACAAAGGTCCCAGCTCCCAGTGGTGGGCTTCTGTACTACACTGCAAATGTAGAATTGCAGGTGAAAATTCATTCCAAGAACAAGACACATTCCTTAAACTGTCATGTGAAGCTTGACACCCTGTATGGGTGTCCTAAGATCATGGTTTATCGGATATGTGACTGCACGGTGTTCAGGGCTCGAATGATACAAATAGTGTATATTCCAGTTTTGGCTTGAAACCTTTTATTGTCTGGATCTGATACATGTTCTTACAGTTTTGCTGCTTTGCACCCTGTATGCATTTTGCTGGTTTGTGTATAATTCTTTTCATGTGACATACATGCTTTTTTATGGACACTATTCATCCTGTGTTGTTTTGCATTTCAGGGAAATACTTGGCTTAAGTACTCTGTTTGTATTTAGTGTCTTCTGGTGCTTGCTATTATGAGATCTGGGTTTTGTATACATACATACATACATATATATATATAGCATCAAGTATTGCATAGTAGTAATTACACAGTAGCATTACAGGTCTTCTACCTCTAGTGATACTCTTGAAAGAATAATGAAAATTCTGTCTTACAGTTTTTTGCTTTCATTTTGATTGACTACCATTCCACACCCTCTGTTTCACAATTCCAGCTTGGCAACAGATTAATTCTTTGCAATTGTGATAACTTTTTTTCTTATGAATTACAAATCACAACTTTTGAATAGAGATTTTTTGGATGCTTTTGTTGGTCTTCTCATAAATATGGCGTAGTTACTGAATTTGAATACCTGTACCCTTAACCTAGCTTATTTGTGAAGAAAGGAACTAAGACTTAGGTTAAAAGGAGTTGAGATGTTTTTTTTATTTTTTGCATAACTCTGGAAAAAAAAATAATTGATTAAATCCTGCTCTAGTGGAGCTATGCAAGCTTCTAATGAAGTAGTCATGTCATATCAATTTTGTAACACTGTTGGAAGAGAGGAAAAGCAGGCTTAAAAATTTTTGCTGCAATTACCTACTACTGCTTCAGCCTGAGCAAGTCAAAGGGATTTTTAGGCAAGGTACCTACAGCACATATGAAATTCCTGCCTTCTGAGTATATAAACTCTTCACTCTAGCCAAGAACTGGCTGCACAAGTGTTCAGTCCCTTCTGTTAAGATTCAAAGATCAGTCTGTCCTCCAAAGCCTTGTTTTAACTGCCCAAAGCTGTTTTCCTCAGATTTTGAGATAGGAGTACAACTTGGTCCCAACAGAAAGATTGGCTGGGCATGTTTCTTAAATATTTAAATACATTTCCTTTTTGATTTTCTTCCCAGGATCAGTACTACAGGCTCTTTGTTCCTAATTTCACCTAGGCAAGATCCGTTTCTTTTGAAGCCTTTCAGTTTTGCTGATATTTCCCATTCAGAAAAAAATCAAAGGTTTTTGTTTTTTATCAAAGTGGACAAAACCTCCAGTTTTGCTCTTGATATACACTGAATCTTGCTGTAATATAAAGTTAAATACTCCCCAGTCATAAGAGGCAGCTAGCTTGAGGTTCTTGTCTGCCTAATTCAGACCAGAACCTTGCAGTTACCCCTTTTTCATCTTAGGTGTATGTTCTTACCATCTGTATTCTGGTGTAGATGTTACTCATTTACCTCTGTTCAAAGCTGTTCTGTGGATTTGTGAAAGAGGCCCAGGGAATCTTGCAATCCTTAACATTTTTATTTCCACAACAGCAAAGTTTTATTTTGTCCTGCATCCTGTGCTGCTGTTGTAGGGACATGAGGATTCCTTTGCTTTGCAACACTGAGTCTTAGCTTTTGAGATACCTACTGAAAATATCAAGTTCAAGTGGCTATTCATCCACACAGAAAAGATGGCAGAAGCGTATTACTGTCCATAAATGTTTAGGTTCTCAAATTCTATGGACAGGGAAATGAAACAAATTCTAGTATTAATGTAAACATTAAAATTTGTGCACTGTGAGCTTGTACTGTAAGAAGATTTTAAAATGTTCTTTAAATATTGGTGGTATAAAAATGTGTTTCCTGGTTTGCAGAAAGAAAATTCTGACCTGTGCTTTAAGCACCAGAGTAACTTTTCCTCGTGGATATGTGCTTACCTTCTAATTTACATATGCAGATATGAGATATTGCTGGTATGTTACTGGATTTAGACATTTGTCAATGCATCTGAGACACCCACTTTTGGAAAGATGTCTCTCTTTTTGTTTGGTGTGATTATCAAGGAGCAAGTCATTTTCGTTTGAGTTTAATACTGGGTCACCTCTTACTGTGGTGTATTTTTCGATTTTGTTTTAAGAAAATTTCAGGTTCTGTATCTTGTAACTGTAGCAATGAACAGCAAGTTGCTGACGAACTTTTTTGAAGTATGAAATGTGCTTTATTTTGGTTTTCTCTTTTTTTCTTTCTTCTTTTCCTGATGTTACCCACGTTCTATTCCTCAGAATGTTTTCTCTTTCTGTGATTCCTTTTCAGCTGCTGCACATAAAGTGTGATAATGATGAACATATGTTTCAAAGACTCTCTACTTTTTTCTGGTGTAACAGTGAGGATTCGCCTCCTTGTTTAGATACCTCTTCCATTACAGTTACTCTTAGGAGTTCTCCCAACTCTAAACTACCACCTGGATTGTTAATACCACCACCTTCAAAAAGTGGTCTTCCAAGGCCAACCAGTGAATACAGTTGGCCAAGACCTCGTGTAATCCTGCTGTGCAAAAGCTTTTTAATTTTTTTTTGCTTTCCTTTGTTCTCTGTTGTGTGTTAACTTGTATTAAAAATGTGCATTTTGTACAGTGGTTAAAGGACAGAGCAAATGTGTCTTAGATTCTTGAGAGAAACTCTTACAATGAGGAATTTGTGAAAATTTACTCTTATTTCTACATAGCTTTTTTCTCTCATCCCCAAAACATAAATTCCTATTTTCCCAATATGTTTAAATTAGTCCATTAATTAATTACCTCTAATCTTTCATTAAAATTATTTTTATTAAGAATAGATATTAAAAAATAACAAAACTAAAAATCCAACTTCAAGGACTTCCTTGTTTCGCCAGTGAATTAATATTAAAGTAAACAGCCATTATATAGCTTTTAGCATACATTATAAAAACTCTGTGCAAAATTAAGGTTGAAAATTATTCTTATACAAAATGGGCATATTTCTTGCTTTTTCATATCAGTATGCTTATACTCTCAACTTTTTTTTCCATTTGTAAGTAACATTTGGCTGTATTTGGGAAACATCCTGGCTTTCTGCATGTGTTCACTAAATAAAAGTGCTTCTTATGCTTATATATATTCAAAATGTGCATTTCTTAACCAAATTATAGCTTTACTTGAACTAGCTGTAGCAGTAGTACAAACATGGCCAGTAACTCAGCAGAATGGCATATAGCCAGGAAATGGAAGTGTAAAGTTTGGGTTTGCCTTTTTTTTTTTCCTAAGAGACTCAAGACTAAATATAAATACTGCTTACTTATTTAGCTTCTAGATAAATGCATTTAATAAACACTTAGCAAATAAGGAGAATCTACATTGGCATTTACTCTCTCCATGAGATTCTAGGATTATCCATCAGTGTTGATGGGAAATGTAGATTAATATATGGCATGTACTTACGAATTAAACCTGATGCCACCTTCCTGGTGTAGACAAAAGCCTGTCTAGAATCAGAGAGTTTTGTTTCTATGAAGCAAGGAATGTGGGATTCATTATTATGTGTCCTTTGGGTCAAGCACATCCATTGCCCTGCTTTGAATGGGAGCAGATGACATCCAGTGGTTGCCTTGACCTAAATTATACTGGTTCTCTGATTGTGCACAGAGGTGCCGGGAGGTTAATGCAAGGTCCATGGCCATAGCAGTAAGAGCCTGTTGTTCCTCCCAAGTGGCCAGCCCCTCCTTCCATAATCCATAGATTCTCTTTTTCCGCATGAGTTTGCCCAGCAGTTCCTTGTTTAACCATGCTGGCCTCCTGGCTACCCTACTTGACTTCCTACCCTTTGGGACACTCTGATTCTGAGCTTGGAAGAAGTGGTCCTTGAATGCTGACCAACTATCTTGAGCCCCTTTACCACCTAGTACCCTTTGCCATGATACTTCCCTTAGCAATTGATTGAAGAGGCCAAAGTTTGCCCTTCGGAAATCCGGAACTGTGGCCTTGCTAGGTATTCTGTTCCTCCCACACAGGATCCTAAACTCCACCATCTCATGGTCACTGCAGCAACCAGACCCTCCTTGTTGGTGAGTACTAGATCCAGCAGAGCTCCTCTCCTAGTTGGTTCGTCCACCATTTGCCTTAAGAAGTTGTCATCAATGCACTGGAGGTACCTCCTAGACTGTGAATGATTGGATGTGTAAGTCTTCCAGCAAATATCGGGGTAGTTAAAATCCCCTACGAGGACCAAGGCATGTAGTCGTGAGGCTGCTTTCAGTTGCCTGTATTATAATGCAAATTTAAAATATGAATTCAGAATCCCTTAGAAATAGGAAATGTAGGACTTGTGAGTCTGTTTTTCTTTTTAAGTAATGTATTCAGTGGAAGACTGTGGATCAATATCCTTTCCTTCTCAGGAACTACTGCATCCTTGAGAGAGAAATAGAGGTAGTTAGGGCTATCTCTACACTTGGATTAGAAATCTGTGCTTTGTGCTGTGAGAGGGCAGCTTCAGTTGTTGCAGGAGAGGCACTTAAGGTAGCATTCTAAAATAAGATTTAGGTCCAAGAAACTCTCTCATGGGTCAGCAGTACTAAAGACTATGTGCTTGCAAGATTTTTGTATTCATGTATTCTGAAATAGGATCCATGTGACTAATTTAACTTCTTAATAATTTTCATGTATATATTTTGGTTAAATTGAATCTTATTTAAAAGAAGTGGGCTTTCCCTGTGCCTGGCTGTATAGTCTTTCTGATACACAGAACGTAGGGGGTTTTGTGTTGTGGAAGTAATAACATTAATATGCAAACTAGTTTTGAACACATATTTTGCTTTCAGCTTGCAAATCTCAGTTTTAATCTATTTCATCATCTGTCTTTAGTGTTCGTTTTATTCTGACTTAAGTGTGTCTTGAAGTAGTAGACTGATGTAGGAGGAATGAATCATTCAAAAATAAATATGGCTGTAGAACCATAGTTAGTTATTGTTGGGTTTGGCGTTTCCTTGCTTTTATTGAAGCCTTCCAAATTCCTGGGCCTTTCTAATGAAATCTCTTCTGTTCACATTCAAAAATGAGAGCTTTACTCTGTTGTATTCAGTGTATTGGATGTCCATGTTGTTACTAATGAAAAAATACATTTGAAGCTTTAGTCATAACAGGTTTTTAGGTTGCCAAGTAAGTTATGGTGTAGGGAAGAATTATTGAACAAGAAGCGTTTAGATTGTATATTTTAATTTTAACTACTTGTCTGGAGCATAGCATATTCTTGTTGCAGTGTTACCTTAAATGAGTCTTGTGAAGATATCTGTATTCATATATCTGCAGTAGAGAGCTGCTTGTTACCAGCTTTCTCAGGTTTAACTGTGTTACATTTCTGGCTGTACCAGATGGACTGAAAAAGGAAAAATTACAATGCTGCTTACGTATCGGAGAGTTTTAGTATGTGTCAGACTCTGATCTGCAAATGCCATTTACTTGGTGTCAGGGGCTGGTTTTTGCATGCTGATGGTTATGTTTAACATTTTCTGAAACTGTGGCTCTTATCTGCATGCTGAACAATTCAGTATTGTGATCTTTTTCATGTGAATTATTGCCCTAATATTTATTGTCCTTATTGTAGGCAGGCAGTGTGACACCTAAATCACCTTCCACTGACATCTTTGATATGGTTCCCTTTTCTCCCATATCCCCTCAGTCATCAACACCTACTCGCAATGGTACACAGCCTCCTCCAGTACCCAGTAGATCTACAGAGATCAGTAAGTTTTGTAACATCTAACCTAATTTTACTTACATTATATTTTTAGTAAAGCATTTTAAAAAAATTACGTACATTTTGCATGAAAAGACAATACAGTTTTTGTAAATCACATTCAATAATGCCATTTTGTTTTTATACCATCTTCCCAGAGTCATCATTGTTGCTGCCAAGTTACAAATTTATTTACTTGCTGAATTATTATATATACAGATTGAAGGAGTTTGGTTGGGGGTTTTAACATGGCTTTTCTTTTATGATATCTTTTTTGTACTTACTTCAAGAAATACTTTTACTTCCTCTTAGTTCTTTCCTTGTCAAGCCACAGTTGTAGCATCTAATACCTACAATTCTGGGGAAGACAGAAGGTGGAGTAAGTATGGCGATGATGGTGCAGAAGGAAGAGTTGAAGAAATCCCTCAAGATGCAGACTGTCTTGGAATACTATTTTTAATACTACTTTTCATACCATCTACAGCTTTCTTATTCGGTTATAGTTGATGAGCCTTTCCAGATCTATGAATTACTCCTAAAAGATATTGAAAAGATGATTAGTAATAGCAATTTTATTTTCCAAAGGCTTGAAAGCAGCTAGGGTAAGGTTCTTGGCTTCACTGGAAATCTTTTAGGAGTCCACACTATATTTTTAAAAGCTTTGGAAATCTGTTGGGGGAGAGGGGCGTGGAACATACAAAAGCAATGTTAGAGGCAGTAGAAGTATCAGTCTGTGTGTAGTATCTTGTATTTCTGATTCATGTTTTAGTGTGGGTAAGGAACATTAGTATTACTGCCTGACACCATGTAAAACCACATTTGGAGAGTTTCTACGTTTTTTAGGGAATGCTTCTGGTATGTAGAATTTTCAGGTATGAATGAAAGCTGTGTACAGTTATAAATGCATTGTAAAATTTAACTCAGTGAATGTCTTCCCCAGTACCATATCCTACATGCTTTTTGGTTCTATTGCTCAGAATGGCTGTCACCATTTAAAAAGAAAGTAGATGTCCAGGCTATTGATTCAGTAAAAACATCTGTTCCTTTTCAAGTGAAGATATTAGATTAATTTATATTAATTTCTATGGGTCTCTCAAAGGGTGTATTAACATAATTTAAAACCATTAAGAATAGTTAATATTAACTGTTCTTAAATAACTTAAAAGAACATTAGATTAGGAATGTTAAGAGAAATTCCATGGCTTTGTACAGGAAAAAAAATATTCAAAGACACTCCCTCCAAGAACTCCTTTTTTGTTTTGAAATTGGTTTTTTGGAAACTACAGACAGTGCCATAAAATCAATCTCAGTTGTTCATGTACAGCTTTGAAAATAATTTCAAGTGAAGTACATGACAAGGGTTTTGGTTTGGGCTTGTTTTTTTTGGTGGGGTTGGGTTTTTCTTTTTTGGGTGCTTTTAGCTTAGGGTTTTTTTTTGGGGGGGGGTGTTTTGTTTTCATTTTGGTTTGGTCTGGGTTTTGGTTTGGTTTGGTTTTGGGGTTTTGGGGGGTTTTTGTTTTGTTTTTTTTTAAGCTTTGTCCTGGCTGTTTCATTGAAATTGTGGCTAGAAATCATGTGGGAGCCAGCACTCAATGCTGAGGAGTCTTGAGAATCCCAGCTAGGTTTTGTGATTATTTTGTCAGTGGGCTTTGTAATACAGAAATTACTATAAATATATTGCTTATTTAGTAATGAGTGCTGCTTAAAATAGTTGCTTCTTCTGTACTTCATTCATTTGCATTAAATTCAGATAACGTAGTTCAGAGATCCCGCAGGCAGTATCTGTGAATTCTCTGCTCCTCAGTGTGCCGTGCTTCAGAGAGAGGTTACAGAAGAACATCGTAGTCTTTATACTTTTGATTCCTGCTCTTTTAGTCTGTCATGGTACTTTATACATTGAAAATGGTTGCATTCATCAGCTATGAACACACTTCGGCATATTTCAGATATGACGTATATTACAGAAGAGGAATACTTTATAATCAAACAAAGACTTATTGTCTTTGATGAGAAAGTTCAAATCCTGTAAGAATCTTATTCAAGCTATGCAATGTTACAGTGCTGTAATAATCTACAATAGTATATTGTTTTGCATGGTGTTATTGCTGCCAGTGCAAGCAAGCTGACATTTCTTTCTCCAGTATAAGTCAAATAGGTGGCGCCCCAGAGGAAGCGATGTTTGGAGTCTCCCATTTTCTGAGGTCATCTTTTATGTTATCTCTACTTTGTGACTTTGCTGCTGCTTCCTCGTGGAGTAAGGGATTGCAAATGTTCTTGCAAGTTATCTTAAAGGACAGAAATAATTTATTAAATTTAATTAATTAAAAGAGAAATTATTTTATGTGTTTCTTGTAGGCACAGCATTATTGTATCTTAGAAAAGAACCGGAGAATAACATTATTCAATTGTTCAACATTTATATCACTCAAACACATCTTGAACAATCCAAGGTCACTACTGGCAGATGTAGAAGTATGCTCCCAGATGCTATCTTTCCAGAGACATTTAAGAGTATGTTGTCAAAATAATGGTGGAACCATTTTTTATCCTGTAGTAACTCCAAAATAAGCAAATACGGAGTAGCCTTCAGCTAAGGGAAACGCTTCCTGGACTTTACTACCTCAGCTTATTCCAAATATTTTCATGGGTGCCTGTCTTCAGCATGATTAATTTTTATTTGTCACCACAGCTGCTCTAGGACTGGGGAAAGTATATGTAAACAAAACTGTGCCTGGATGATAGCTAAGGTAAAGATGCAGAATGCCAAATATTTGTAGTTTTGTTTAGGAATTGTTAGGTTTTGGTTTATTGCAGAGTTCAGGTTGCTGCTCCTCCAGTATTACGTGTTTCTTGTCCTGAATGTCACAGAAACAAGAATGTACCTGTTAATGGCTTTGTGATTTAAGTTGTGAATGTAAAACAAACATTTCGTGTCTTTTGAATTTGTTGGTTCATTTTCCACACTATAAATTTATTTCCATTTAGAAAGGAATGGGAAAAGGAAAGGAAATTATATGTGCTGTTTGAAAGGATCATTTTCAGAGGTTTACTGGTTGCTGTGTATTGGAGAAAGAAATGCCTCTATCTGCTGCAGTTATTTTGGGGAGTATGCTAGGCAAGATATTATTGTTATAGTTAATCTTCTTGCCTGAAATAAAAAATGAGTAATTTATCCCACCTCTGCTGAAAAGGAGCCCCCCATAAATGGTGGAGTGAACAGTAGCAGAAAAGCTTATGGAGATCCCATGCAGTAGTGCAACTCTGCAGTTACTAATTTTAGTATTCGTCCAATTTCCATATGTTCTTCAGCTTCTATTCAAAAGAGAAATACCGATGATGCTATTGAAAATATTTCATGGAACTTCCTCTCTCCCTGACTCTTAGCAGTGCACTCTCATATAGCATACAAATTTTAAATGCAGGGAAGCAGTTCTACTACGGCGTTTTTCAGGTGGTTTACTGAAATGGGTAGAGATAGCTCCCCAGATAATAATTTTTCATAGAAACCCAGCTAGGAAATATTCACTGTTTTGAATTTGATTCTGTACAGGGTTTATTAGGTTCTTTCACTCTAGAATAAATTATACACCAGTTAATTTTAGTCGGCTTTGAATAACAATATAAATGAAGTTATCCTTCACCTGAAGACAGGAAACATATTAACAGAGCTGAAGCTTCTGCCATTCTCCTGCTGATGAGCTCAGAAGTGCTGTCATTACTAAAAGCCTTATAATAAGGCATGAATGAGATAATATCCATAGTAGTGTACAAAGTACTTGCTTTCAAACTAGCGATGTCATATTTCAGCGCTAAGAAATGCAAGAGTTGTGTTCTTTAAAGGGTTTCTTTTTTCTAAACACATTCCTTGAATATTTGCTGTGGCTTGGTGCTGAAACTGGCTGCTTTTAGCTGTCTGACCACACAGAAAACTGTTAGCTCCTTATAAGGGTAAAAAGAACCTGGGGTGGGGGGAGAGGGGAGGAGAAGAAGAAAACGGACCTATATAGTGAACAGATACGCTTACAAGTAGCATAAAGCATAATCACTTTTTGCCCAGTAGAGCCTAGAATGAAAGTCAAAGCTGCTGCACATCTGAAGGTTACTTCATAGGAGCATCAGAGCATGGAAGGACAGTAGTTGTACTGGAGCAGACCCATTTTGGCTCCGAAAGGGGCAATGGACAAGATAGATCCTAATTTTTACATTAGATTGCCCTAGTTAAAGTCTCTTTTGCATGCAGGTGGTCTGCCTCCGCCAGGAAAAACTAGATTTTTCTTTTTTTGAGTAAGATAGGCTTTTGGAATAAAGCTCTCTGATCTGGACCATCTCCTAGTCCCATGTGGCAGTTCAGAACTGTTTAGCCACAGTTTTTGAAATATGTAATTAATCAAGTTCCTTTTTGTTTCTGTACTTTATTATGGGAGTAAATGCTGGTAGCCGCTAATAATTTAAAATGCTTATTGTGCAACCTGATAAAGCCTAATAAATCAGGTCAAAACCCATGAGAAGACTGACATGCGCAATAATTGTTGAAGAGCTTAGACAACTACATATTTAAAATTCTGACAACAGGGATGCCAAAGTAAAGACTGTTTAGCTACATGCACATGCTTCGGTATTTATAACGTGACTGGTAACACTGCAACATGGGTTTTGTTTTAAGTATTCAGTTGTCAGCTTTTGTATCTTGGATGTAACAGATAAAATTTTCTTCTAAATCTAAATTCTAAATCTAAAATTAGCTAGTAATTTCAAAGTTACTAATAGCCCCTTTTATTCTCATGTTCTTAAGCTAGCATTGTTTTAAGGTAGGTAGTACGCTTCCCAGGTTTCTTGCTGGACAACTTTGAAAGTTAGGAGATAGATAGGATATGTTTTTAATTTTATTTCTACTAATGAAAAGACTATTAATTTGGCTCTGTAAATTTTGCAATCAGTGTGGTTGAGTAGGGGTAGCAAAATAATTCTCTTACTGCTTTAGTTCAACCCAGTGTGGGATAGAAAAACTGTATAGATGGAACATTACATGTAGAGGGAACTGAAGATTTGAAAAAACTGTTCAAAAAAAAAAAAAAGGATTGGAGAATCCCCTGACCTCTACAAAGCATACTACAGTTAAGGAAAGTGAGAAACTGTATGGTATTGATGTATGGTATTGAAAGAGAGAAATTTGCACTCATTCCATTATGGATCCAGATTTAGTGGCATTTTAGGATAAGCGATTTTTCATGGTCCCATATTTTTTTCATTCATTTTTGACTTGATCTTATCCAATATTTTAAAACCCTAACAAATAGTGTTAGTTAATATCAGCTGTGCACTGAGGAACTCTTACCAAATGAAGGCCTTCCCTTCCATGATGAAGAGCAGATGTTGTCCTTATGAAGATGTCCTTAACCCTGACGGTGGGAAGTGGCAAACAGGGGACATGAAGGCTAGTTTGTTTGCAAGAATATTTTTCTGACATAATATTAGGGTGAAATTTGACAACCGATGTCCTGTTCCCTTCCCGTTTCTGAAACTCCTCATACACACCAAATCAAGAGCATATTTAATTTGGAGATACCCTCTTCAAATTGCAACTTATCAGATCCCCAAAATTCCTTTAAGAGGCAGAAGTGTTAATGAAATCTGAGTGAGCCTTCAACAGAGGTTGATGGTGTTCTTGGAAAAATTTGAACATTAAACTTAGGAAAACTAATCAAGACCTGGCTTTAAATTTGGATGTTGTGGTTAATCAGTTGTAGATCTGGAGGTGTTACTGTTCAGCCTTTAAGGAGATGTAAGCTGGCTTTTTCAAAGAGTTATCGTTGTAGCCCGTACCTTTTCTCTCAGTGACTCACTTTTCTCTTGTTCCAGAGAGAGACCTTTTTGGAGCAGAACCTTTTGACCCTTTTAGCTGTGGAGCAGGAGATTTCCCTCCAGACATTCAGTCCAAACTAGATGAGATGCAGGTAACTACGAAGTTATCAATTATGCAGTTTTCTGTGGCCGTATGACTCTTCTTGAAATATATGTTTACAGTATTCTGAAAATGTATTCTGGACTACACACAAATGCATACAGAAAAAAACGGTTTTGACTTTTTTTTTGTGTGTCTCATGGTCTTTGAGTTGGAGTTTGAATTTGCCTGAAGATCCTTACTTGGTATTAATATGGACACCTGCACTAATTTAGGGGTTCACAGCAGTGTAATCAAATTGGATACTGTTGTTCCTATCTGGGAAGGTTCTGAGGGAACTAAAAAAAGAGAGCTGAGGCAAGAGCCCTACAGATCCACTGATCTTGTTACTCTTCAGTTCTAGCAATCACCATCATCCCAGTTTACCCTCACCTTTCCATCAGTGATATCAGTCTGGTTTTTCATAGCATTTCCACAGGCAAACTATGTGCTTCAGGTGCCTTTAAAACCAGCTGTATTTGACTGTGGCACTCTGGAGCACTTAAAACTGTTGAGAATTGATTCAAGAATTCTGAGTGGAAGCATTTGTCAGAAAATGTTTGCTGATTCTAAAACACTCAATTGTATCTGTTCAGTTGCTGATCCAATTTTGAAGCAGTTCTAGGAGAAAGCCATCAAGTTTTGGAATAACTCACTGCCTTCAGTCAGACTTTCCAGAGTGCTAGTTCCTTGCCAGCTTGCTTATCTGTGTGTTTTTCAGCAGCCTGCCAGCAAAACAGACAGCTGAAAATACTGGAAACTTGAATTTCTAGGATCCTGGCTCCTCAGCAGAAAGCGTTCCCAGGGCTTCTAGCCCTCTTTTCTCTCAAGATCCCACAAGGTCCAAGAGAGCTAGCTCTCTGGCTCCTTCAGTTCCTTTTTTTCTGCCTGGAGAGCAGCAGAAACATTTCAAAATGGCTGAAATAAGATTTAAACACCATTTAGTTTTCCTGAGTAAAATCTTTTAATTCCTATTCACTATGAAATTTCATTTTCCATGTCAGTTTAGGGTGTTGCCCCTGGCAAACTCCACTCACAGTGAAGTAAGAAACTGAGGTTGTTGGTCACCTGTACTCTGGCCCATATAATTTCAGATAGCAGATAAAAGCCAAAATTGGCTTCTTTGCAATTCCTGTAAAAATGCTTGGGTTTTGTAAATGAAATAATGTTATTGCCAAGCCCTTTAGCACAAAAAGCAAATCTTCTAGCACCTCACACTGATATACATCAGTGTTTCCATTGTCTATAGCCCACTTCAGGAAAAAGTATACTGTAGCATCTCTGGCTACTAGGAAGAATCCTATGAAAATACCCAAGCGTCACACACTATAAGAGTTCTTATTACAGGTAATGTTAGTTTGATTGTTAGCATATAAGCCTGCAAAGTGCTGTCACCTCATAAAACATCAGTGAATGGAACCCTAGAAATCCTTATCAAAGATTTTCAAAGTCATAAAATGAGAAACTCGCATCCTTGTTTGTATTCTCTTGACCAAAAAAGCAGACAAACAATAACAAAACCTCCAAACCTGATGCCATTATTACACCCCGTTGCAAAGAATATTGCCTTGGTCCTGCATTCCCCTCTGCACATACAAGTTTTGTTTTTCCAGCTTTGTTTTGTATGCTTTATCTCGCAATTGGAGCGTCTAGTCTATCAGTCTTAGCATACCCTGACACTTCCACTGAAAATTAACTAGTGGGTCTATATGTAGAAACAAAGCTTGTTCATATATAATCCAGTTGAGAACAAGTATAAAGTTAACAAGGTATGAAAACAAAAATAAAATTCTAACAATTCTAACTTTGTCCAAAACAAAAGTTATGTACAGTATTATACTAGGTGGTAAAATGCAGATTGAAACATATTTTTATTAATATCTCTTTTATCTTCTTGTGCTGTCCTTGGTGCCTAGCGTCAGCGATGGTTGGTATATCATTTTTTAATAATGATATTTAATGCATTTACAATTGAAGTGTGCATGTGTTCATGTCTGGTGTCTTTATTTTTATGAATATGTGTGTACATATGTAAATCTTTCATGTAACTTTTAAAACTTTTAGTGGTCTGCAGTTTTTTAAGGTAGGAAAGCTGATTCTTTTTCTTATCAGCTGCTAATACTAAGCCTTTATTTTCATTGCTGTTTATTTTCCATGTGTACTAGTGAAATCTCCAGTCTTCGTTATCAGATTGTCCTTAGTGAAATGGTTTAAGCAAAACCTTTGATACATATATTTTTATGTAATACAGTCACATTTGTGAATGTTTTTTTACTTGGAAATAATTACTTAAAAGCTTGAAATGAGCAGAAGATAGCTGTACTAGAAGTCAGTGGTTGTTAGATATACAGCTGATAAGAAGGAAGGTGAAATGGATGCTGCAAAAGGTAAAAGCACAGAATATTCAATGTACTCTGGAAAATGTAAAGAAACATGTAAGAAAAATACAGGCTTCTTTCCTTCTCTGGAATGCAAACTGAAGGAATCTGTTCACATTATGAAAGTACAGTCTGACTTTCAGTAAATACATATTTCATTAAATACACAAAGGTAAGTTGCTTATGAACACATCTAATAGTTCAAATATATAGACTCACTCTGAGAGGGCGTTAAATACAGCTTATCCTGCACTGAGTGGTAAGCAAGCTGTCTCAGCAGCAGCCAGTGACAACCTGATTGGAGCAGCTCAGTCCAGACTCTCTTGCCCTGTTTCTCCTGTAAAGCTATGTCAGATGCCTTGTCAAACATATGCCTGTCTGCAGAAAAGCTGTCTCAGTGTATGTGTGTGTTGGAAGGTGATGTGTAAGCAAAGAGAGAAGGGAAAGTGCAGCACAGAAGAGGCTTTGGAGAATAAGCCCATTAAGTAGTGGGTGCTTTTCTTTGCATCCAATATTCTGAATTTAAAAGGATCAGATAAATTTTCCTGACCTCTGGGAGAACACTTTTGTATTTAAACTTCAGGGAGGGTCCAGATTTCACACTTAAGCTCTTTCTGTTCCATTTCTCAGTCCAGTCTCTGTTGATCTTTTTGGAGAGCTCAAAACTCATACTGAGATGTGACTTTTACAGCTCAGGCCTCTCTCTTGATGACTGTTCAACCTTCCATTTCCCCCACCTTTATGCTGAAACATATTTTAATTTCACTATTTTTACTGCATTCAGACATTAATAAATTTAATCTGTCTGTTTTCTCAGAAATCTTGCAGTTGAGGGGAAGTTTCCCTAGATCATGAATCATACCAGCAACAGGTGCTATAATTTATTAAAATCTCAAAGCTTCCATGAGCTGCAAGCCATTCCCCTGCATGCCCTGAAGCAGCCAGTAGGATTGATGTCTTTCTATCTGAAATAAGTTACCCTCAGCCCTTTAAATTATCATCTCAGAGATGTGTAAATTTATCATTGGTTCATAGCGTTTGCATTGACTTAAGCTCATGAAGTGAAGTTACTGTGAAGTGACGGGTCAATCTCAAAGCAGTGAGGTTTTGGCAAATTTATCTTCTGGGAAAAAAAGAGTTCTTTGTCTTTTACTGTTTACTGTTTTTAACCAGAATAGCTCATGTCTTAGAGAAACTAAAAAAGTGGGTGTTTTGGAAGAGGCTTTGTTTTCAGGTTGCTTTCACTAGTGAAAAGCTTTGCTACTCTCTTCAAGAGACCAGTCATATCCTTTAGTTCAATACCGTTATTCATCTGGGTAACTAAGATGTTCAGTCCTTGTATTAAATCACCTTGAAAATAAAAAGTTACTTGACATGGTCATCATGAGGATATGAACAGAGAAGCAAGGTGCAATATAGATGCGCACTTCGTAGCCCTTCCACTCCTGTCCAGTAACAGGGAATGGCCTTTTCTGCATTCCCTAAAAATCAGCAGATTTGAGAGATTTGCTGATCACATGAGGAGTTACTCTTTCATGAATCTTTAAAGTACAGGAAGCCGTGGCACACATGTGTTTTAATGAACAGGCAGTGTGTTATGCTTAAGACATGTTACTTGAAGCTGAAGTGTCTGAATTTCACAAGGCAAAATGCTTTAAATGCTGTGTATTAAAATTAATGTAACCTTTAATATGTATAGTATGTAATGTGTATCAAGTGCTGACTATTATGTCATTTTAAAAGAAAATATATTCTGCATTACACATTAATTGAGTTTATTAGAAAAAGAGAAAAAATCATAATTTGTAATCTGCTTGGTCATTCCAACTGACTTCATTATTATGACAGCTGCAAATGCTGGGTTTTGAAGTGGAGAGTCTGAAGTAGACATATACTGTGTAACGGATACTAATAATGTAGCAGCTTCAAGTAGGAGCCAGAGGATTTGACAGAGATGTATGCAGTTCAGATGTATGTATAAAGTGAAATTCCTGAAAGCAGATATAAATCTCAGAAGAGTTCTGCATAGCTGTGAGAACTGAAGCATAGGATACTTCTGTTATCTGCATTAATTACACTTCAGCTGTGTCTGAACATAAAGGAGAATCTTTTTTTAAAACCTTATGTTCCCACAGCTTGCTTGATTACAGCTAATTGCCTTTTTTTAAAAAATACAGGGTATATTTGCCAAAATACAAGTTTGAAGAGTCCAAAAACCATTTAAGAATTTGGAGTTATTTTGCAAAATTTGAAGGATTAGGAATAGAGATGGCTGGGGAGATCTGAAGTCCATGCTTTTGTGATCCTTGGAAATTTTATGGCAATCGCTTTGCCAAGGAATCCGCTAGACAAGGATGTTCTGATTTATTATCCCCCCCCTTTTTGAAGACTGCATTTAATTTAATAGGAACATTAGTTAAGCCAATTCTTTGGTTTAAACTCCTACGCACTTCTTGTCCTTCACTTAGATTTTCATGAAAAAAACCAAACAAACAGAAAACTGAACCTCTGAGGTTTACATTCTTTTAAACCCTGAAAAATCCCCAGCTGGCGATCTAGATTACCTTGATGTCCTCTTTATGTTGTTGGTCTTTTTTGATCGTGTGGTTGGCATGGAACTTTGAACCTGCTAGTAACTGTAGTATCTGACATTTAATGACAGTCTGTTTTGTGTCATTTAACAGATGAACATTGAAATGTCATGTTCCTTTTATAGACAGTTAAGTGCATGAGCCATTTTAAAGTATGAATGTGTTAACACTCCAGTTCCTGATACTGTAGTAGTAGGTTTTCCTTCCTTATCAGTTCTGCCTATAATAGAAGCTGGGTTCTCAAGTACGCAACTGGTAACAGCACCTGGCTGCCACATCACTATTTTTACAACAGACAATAGTTACGGTAATAAAGTTAAAATGCTTTTAAAAATAATTATGATACATATAGTGCAGCAATCTCTTAATGGATTAATGCTGATCACATTCCAAGTACGTGAAAATATGATCATTTTAAATGCAGAATATCATATCTTCAAAGAGGAGGAGGACTAAATAGGGGGGAAAGTGGTCTGAAGTTAAAGAAGGAAAGATAAGGAGAGCATTGTTCTTCAAGAAAGCAGAAATAGTTCAAAGCACTAACAGCAAACACAAGCTAAGTGTTAAATGACAAAATACCATTTTGTATGGAATAAAAAATTAAAAAATCACACATGATCAACATAAAAGCAGTGGGATGTATGTGCTTCCAAAATGTATAAGCTGATTTGCTTTTAGCTAGCCAGAGAAAAGGCATTGGAAGTGCAGCTTCTTAAGACAGCAACAAACAGTGCTTGAATGTATAGAAAGGTAAGAGCATGCAGGACATGAATGAGATGCGTGTTCTGTGAAGGCCTCTCTGGATTGCTAAAAATGAAGATGGTTGTCCTTGCTAAAGTAGTTGCTGTAGCTGTTGTACCTCTGTTGTACCTCTATCAAGCATCCTCAGGTTGAAGCACAAACTATCCCTTTTACAATCACAAAACTGGAAGCAGCCTTTAGATATGCTTCAGAGCATATCTGAAGTGCTTCAAAAGGTAAGCATTTCAGACACAGTGTAATAACTGCAGGGTTTACAATATGATAGGATAGACTGTAGGGCTAATTCTGAATTTCCCCATCTGTGACTGCAGTTACATCAATTAATAATATCCTTTTGGTAAATGAACAACAGGAGGTGTTTGACTTGGAGCATCAGATATCTTTTGCTTGAAATATTTTTTCAAATCCTGTTATCCCTTTGAGAAGTACAGGGCGAATAAAGGGAAAAAAAAGTCAGATATGTTGGTGAGTTTTGGCAGCACCATGTCATCCAGGTAGGGCAAACTGGGTGACGCAGTTGGAGCTACTGGCTCTTCATCTCATAGAATGGATTTGCCTGTAGGAATATTCAAATTTTAATTGGAAAATCTCAGACCATTTAATAACTATTGCCAGGAAGTTTATTCTGTTTCTCAGTATTACTCTTCTGATGACAGTAGCTGGTGGGGTTATTAATTATTGATATGCTTTCAAAATTCTAGCCTGTGGTTTAAATCTGTTTGAAATTAAGCTGGTTTGATTTGGGATTTATCTTTCGAAGCTAAAAGGCATGCTTCAGCTACTGCTGTACATTGTGAGGAAAGGCTTGAGTTTATGCGTAATCCCAGTACAGGTTGCTTTGCAAGAAGATTTATTTTATTTGCAAGACATTTACTTCATGAAAGCAACTGTTACTGATTTCATAGCATGCAATCAACATTCTCTAAGTGAACTGTATGTTAAGACAATGGTGAACTGAAGGTTATGGCAGCTGTCCCTGGAGATGATGTTCTCATAGCATTTCTATTCAGAGCCCTTGTTTCCAATGGCTTATAACTTTACAGTACTTTTACCTAACAGACTGAAATTTTCTTGACTCAAAGGTAACTTTTCTCTTGAAGGTCAGGTCAAAATTCAGCCATTATTCTGCTTCTTCCAAAATAAAGAGAGAAATGTCCTAAAGTTAGGCTAAATTCAGATGTTTTTAGAAAGAGTTTAACCCTCAAAAAGTCACTTTCCTTTTAGTTAACTATGTTTTGTTTCATTGCAGGAGGGGTTCAAAATGGGATTAACTCTTGAAGGCACAGTGTTTTGTCTTGACCCACTAGACAGCAGGTGCTGATGCCAAGAAACTATATGTGAAAATCCTACACAGTGTTGTTCGGTTGTTTTTTTTAATCCTGAACATGTATTCGTAGATATTATCCATGTGCCAAAAGTTGCTTTCTTCAACATGTAAACTCTTGTGAGATTTGCTTCTGTAAAAATCCAACTTAGTTCTAGTCTTGCCCTGTACAAATGTAAGAAGTTATATTTGTTTATGAAATATGAATTAAATTACGCTGTTATGTTTCTTTCTCTCACATTTTGCCCCAGATTACTATGTTTTATGACTATGAGCCTGGAGAAGTTCTTCAGAAAGCTCGCACATACCTCTCTCTGTTTGCAGACCTGCAAGCATGATTTACATGTAATACTTTACCTGGCAGCATTTTGAAATTATGCTTTTAAGTCATTATTTAATATTCAAGCAATAAAATGTTTAATATTTAGTAAAAAATGTTCAAATTGCAGTGAAAATGCAGAAAATACTAACCATTAATACATGCTTAAAAGGTAAATCTGGATGCCGTGTAATTGATCTCCTTTATTGTGTATCATTACTATGCTGTATATATGTCATTACTAGTTTACAAAATCCAGAAGACTTTTAGGTCCTTAATTCATGTTTTATAAACTAACAAATTGTTAGTATGCTTATCAGTGTTTAATGAGCATAGAAGAACTGCTGATTGCAGACTGGACAAAGTAACTGCCCGCCCTTTTGATATTTTATAGCTGAATTTTAAAGTATGTAATATGGAATTCATTATATGATAACCATAACTTAGAAAGAAGTTTATGGTCTTGCATTTACTTAGGAGTTTGTGTAATTTTGTATATAAGCAGGCATTCCATTTACTGGGCTCAGTCCTGTAAGTTACTTTCAACACCTGAGTGTTTACAGTCAGGCTCTGTTGATTTTTTTTTCACTGTCTGCTTTAATGCAATAAGTCTTACTATAATTTTAAATAATTTTAATAATTTTAAAGCTTGCTGTAAGAATTCTGTATAACTTCATAAGTCTTTCATACCCACTGGTTGTTACAGAAGTAACTGCAGTCTTCAGCTGCTAGCAAGTTGAATGCTGATCTGTCTATGCATACTCTTTGTTAATCTTCAGCATAAGCAATAAAATACCATCTTAAACCTATCTCAGAAAATTATCATTAGTGTTTTGATGCCCAAACTGAACATTATTTCAATTCAAAAACTTTAAAAACTCTAGTATTTTTCCCTCA